CGTGATTATGCTCTAGCATATCATCAAGACATGCTTTTCCCATCTCGAGACCTTGCTCAAACAGATCCTCGCGTGAGGTTTCCGAGTAGCATCTCGGAAGTTTCGTACTTTCGTAAGTGCCGAGTGCTTTCTCAACACGCTTGAAAGCAGCTCGCCGCTCCTTAACAATACGTTCGCTGGCAAGAGGATTAGTAAAGAGACAGCAAAGACCTTGTGTATCGAACATACTTTACCCAGAGTAGACATGTCAGCTCGAACGTATCAATGGAGCCGGACGCTCTTGCTTTCTGCATCAGTGTAGTCTGCATGTTCTTCGCCATGTCGACTGTTATCGCTTAGGAAGAATCTGTAGAACAAGAAGAGAGTGATGTGATTGTTCTATGTGAGAGGGAGGAAACCCTGAGCTATATAGTAGGAGGGGTGACGGTATTGAATGACTGTGAAAGTAAACGTGACAGGTATCCAACCCAACGGAATCTGGACCTTCAAAGGTAGATAGACGGGGGTCAATTGCTAAACTGGCCAAAGCAACATCTCTTATTATCAGACGTACACGACGGGCTTTCCATATCCATGATGATCTGCTTTCCACGAATCTGCCGCGGATCCTTCGCTATCCATCCGCCGTCGAATCAGATGCTATCAAAGTGCTGGTTCGTTATTTGATGAATGTGAATCACAACTGTGCCTCCGTGACGCAGGCATCTCGGGCAGAAATGGCTATTGGATGCATCTCCAGGGTGCTATCTCCAGAATACGTATGTATGGTCCTTATGTTCGTTCGATGCGACATACTGACTTCCGTTTAGCGTACAGATGATACCGGTCGTTTAGTAGATCAGATGATCCCTTGAACTCCTCCTTGACAGCTCAGACCTGTTCGACCCAAAATGAACAAACCCCATAAGTTCGAGCATATTCGTTGGGGTTTTCGCATCAAAAATGTAGCTAAGCATGTAAGCGATATCATAGCTGTCCTAATAGATGTGCTCGGGGTCACTATCCGTCTAGGCAATGCCGCCAAAATTCGGGATTGAAGGACACGGGCCGTATCTATACCTAAGGGCGGCCCTTGGTGGCGTTGCCGCATGGAAAACGTCTTCATATCCGAGTGTTTTGTCGAATCAGATGTCTCCGGTGCTTGGAATAGACATTTCCTGCGACAGTTTCTTGGGAGTTAACACGATACGCGATGGTATTCGACAAGTCTGCTTCTTGAGGACGAAGGTGTGACAATCAATGGCCCTCTCGTTCTGCAGCCCTATGCCATATTCTGACGAAGTCGTGCGGCGAAGATTGGCATAGCATGGGTAGCCAATCTCTTATTCAATTGTAGAAAGAAGGTGGCGTACTGTCTAGAGCTGAGGCGGCATCAACTCGTTATCCTGTATGGATGCACTCCACCTCAACGTCTACGTTACACGCACCATTATGCGAGCTGGTACATCTCGATACTAGGCGCTATGAGATCGGAACGCGGTATCATGAACTTATGATATGCCATTTCGGCTGCAGAAGTATGGTGAACAATGGACGCAGTGCCACACTTGTGGTGTGCTGCGACGCGGAGGACCTCGGGGGGTTGGAAGCGCCAGGTCATATGCGGTTAGCTTGCCATGCAACTCGCCGAGGCGACACGTGCGGAAACAACTGCCGTGTATATTCACCAAACTGGCCCCTCGCACGCTCTGCAACACCAACGGTCATCGCGTTGCTTCCCGGTTTTGTCTCTTATATGCCTCATCCCTGGTTCGTTGGAAATTTCCCTCAAAACCTTCGAGGATCATCGGCGACGCGTGTAAGCCAAGGCTGTTTAGACATCTCGCATACGGCCTGCATGTAATCAGTTACTCATCACGAACAACAGCTGGTTGAGGCCACGAGCGCTTAGACTTGATGGGTGCCGTTAAGTGCCAACAAGCAGTCTGCTCAAGCTTTTTTGGCATCCTTAATCATCAGTTTCATGCGGGGCGTGTCGTATTCATGACTTTCTCCGGCTTTTGCCCTTTCTCGGATTTCGGACTTAACGACTATTGGTTCTAGACGCGTTGTACCCTCCAGGGTTTTCTGACAGCTCTTTGATATGCATGATGATGACGTAGTAGTGTATCTCTGCTTGTCGCTTCTGCGGAGCTTGCGGCATTTCCATTCGTGGATCTGGGTAAATCACATGGGTACAGGGGTTGCCTGCAGCACACATCGTGGTAGGGTAGTATAGCCCATGATTAAGAATCAGTCACCTTGAGGTCATGACATGTCGCACAGGTACTGGCGCTATCAACCCACAGTGCGGGACTTACCTTCATTTGTAAAGGGTCGTATCCCAAACTTCATCCTAAATCAAAATCCTCCAACTCCATACCCAAATCATGGCGCCCGCGGAACCAAACGCAAAGCCTTTTGAGCTTTTGACCACTGAAGAGCCGGATTTCCCGGAAGAACGAGAAGGATGGAAAGGATATATCGAGTGGGAGCGATACCCAGAAAAGAAGAAGCAGGCGGCAGAAATTCTAGCGAAATATGACTTTCCTGTACCTCCCGAATTCCAGATGAAGCCGTTACCCGACACCAATCCAGTCTTAGAGGGCGTGCGATGGAAATACTACCACTACGCCTTGGGTAAAACGACCAAGGATCTTCCAGCCATTTCATGGGAGTACGTCAAGAAAGAGAAGAGCGATGACATGATTCATGTCCTGCAATTCCCTTACAACGGAGAGCCGCAACGAAAGCGCCTGGTCGAGAATGAGATTACTCCCAACAAAGACCACTTTATTCGGAACCATGGAGGTGTTCCTGAGATTGATCCAGAGAAGTACTTCTTTGAGGTTGAAGGTCTCGTCAACACGCCAAAGAAGATCACCTTGAAAGAGCTTCAGGATGAGAGCAAGTTCCCGCGTATGGAGACTTGCGTTACTCTGCAGTGCAGTGGTACCCGGCGTATCGAACAAATTCACGACTACCCAGGAGACGGAGATGAACTCATCAACGCGCCTTGGGGAGAAGGCGCCATCGGAACTGCCCGTTACGTAGGCGTCAGTCTCAAGAAGGTTCTCAAGTACTGTGGGCTGAAGCCGGAAGGAAAGCACGTGGAGTTCTTTGGCGCCGATACCTACTTCAAGAAGGGCCAGGTGTACAATTACGCTGTCTCGGTGCCGACTCGGAAGGTGAAGATCAATGAAGTTATGCTCGCTTGGGAGATGAACGGGGAGCCACTGCCTGCCATCCATGGTTTCCCACTTCGCGTTGTCGTGATGGGCTACATCGGTGCCAGGAGCTGCAAATGGCTAACCCGCATCAATGTCATCGATGCACCTTCCATGGCTCCTGTGCAGATGAAGGAGTACCTATACTACACCCCACAGAACGGCAAGCAGAACGTCACGTACAGTAACGGTTTCAGCATCCAAACTATGCCTGTTGCCAGCGCAATCATGACGCCTGTCGACAAGGACGTTATTGTTCATGATGGAAAGATCCGCATGACCGGTTGGGCATACAGCGGCAGTGGTTGGCCCGAACGAGTCGAAGTCAGTAATGACGGAGGCGGCGTGTGGTATGAAGTACCATACGAGAACTTGAGCAAGAAGTACTACCACGCCTGGCGCACATGGTGGATCGACATCCCCGTCGATGCGGAAGGATGGCTGTAAGTCTCGCAGGCCTAAATGTTTGCTGAATAACACTAAAGATGATTAGCGAGTTCTGCGTTCGTTGCTGGGATGATGCTTTGAACACACAACCAACCTTCGTGCGGAGCGCATGGAACTGGGATCTTCACGTAACATCGTCTTGCCAGTAAGTGTTTTCCATTTGAGTGCGTTTGAATATTTTCAAGCATATGACGCTAACGATTATGGCAGCCGCGTAAAGCTTTACAGTGTCAACACGACCAAGCCGGCTACTCAGAAACGTCTCAAGCAACTTGAAGATCACGGAGCTTCACTATTGCCTATCACCAGGCCTTTACCGTTTGACCTCCAGTCGGATGAAGAATACCTGGAGGAGATGAAGAAGATGGGAGGTCGTGATCCGGAAGAGTAAGCTGATGTAAGACGGTTGCTTGTCTTTGGCCGCTAAGCGGGATGGGTATCGAGTTAGACTTGATATGCGAACTGGACTACAATATATAGTATGGCTAACTAACTAGCCAAGTAAGACATGTTAATATAATGAAGATATTCCTCGGTCCTCGAAAGACAACCATGATGAGTGGGGGACCAATTAAGTGGATGCAGGCTAAACAGCAGCATTTCGCCACTCCATACTAACAGTCTATCTGGTCCTTGTCGGTCTCAGACTGCATGCAGTCAGTGAACGGGTGAGGCCTAATCCCGCGGATCGAGTCTAGTTAGTGATGGATTGCGGCGCGGTTAAGACATGGCCCCACCACGGCCACGAGCGAGAACACCATCTTGACAGCAACTCTCACCCCGTTCTGGATCTATGACAATCTGCACTGCGATCATTGTATGTATGGTAAGCTTACAAGGCGGTTTCTTATAATAGAGATAATAGAGTTGATGGATTCGCAACCATATCCTAGCAATACCAATACCACTATCGAATGTGCCTCGCCACATCAGTACATGTTGCATGAGAAGCGCTGCTCCTGCATTGCAGTGCAGTAGGCCTGCAGAAATCATCGGAGTTCGCGAAGAAAAGGCAGGAGCGGGTGGATGGTTCAAATATCAGTGGATTATGTGGAGTATAAACGGAACTGTCTTTGCCTATGTCAACCGTGTGACAGCCGCAAGCGCCCGGGGCAGTGAATCTTGCTTCGAACGTGGTCGCTATTGGATAGGTTTGAGGGATCTATAGCATATCAATTCTTCCACCGGTAGCACACTAGGTCGAAGGTTTGATAGAGCTTAGAGTACCCAGGTGAGTCGTGACTGATCGAGCCGCTATAAGTATCGTGTAGGTATTGCGATAGACCATGGGCCAACCCCAACACTTTCACCTTCTGTTTGTTCCAGTTTCTCTTTATTCTATACACGATGCAGTTGTTCACTCGTGTCTTCGCCCTTGCTGCTGCTGTAGTCCCGTTCGTTGCTCAGGCAGCACCACTTGCAGCTCGCTCCCCCGAAGATGTAACCGCAGAACGATACATCGTTCAACTCATGCCAGGCGTCGATGTCGAATCGGTTGCTGCTCACCATGAGAAGGTTCGCAGTATCAGGCGCAGAGATGATGTCAACGTAACTGCAAGCATTGATCAAGAGTACGACTTCGGAGATTTCAAAGGTTACACAGGATCGTTTGACCCTGCTGTCATCGCTGAGTTAGAGGCTCTACCTGAAGTTCTCATCGTGGAGAAAGACTCAATGATGTTTCCCTCTGCTCTCGTAACACGTACGTATCTCATATACTCTGGCAGGCAGTGAGAATGCCTCAATCTTGAGGGAACAGTGCTGATAACTCCCAGAGAACAACGCACCATGGGGTCTTGGACGAATCTCATCCAAGAGTAAAGGAGCTACCAGCTACATATACGATTCAAGTGCTGGTGCAGGTACCTACTCATACGTGGTTGATAGCGGAATTCGTACGACCCATGCCGAATTCGAAGGCCGTGCCTCCTGGGGATACAACGCGATCGACACCGTCAATTCTGACATTTACGGTCATGGCACCTTCGTGGCCGGTGTGATCGGCGCGAAGACTTACGGTGTTGCTAAAAAGACAAATCTCATTGGGGTTAAGGTCTTTTCCGATGGGGGCGCACCTACATCCACTATAATGAGTGGTCTGAATTGGGCAGCGAACGATATCATCACCAAAGGCCGACAGACTTCTGCCGTGATCAACATGTCGATCGGCGGGCCAGCAACCTCAGTGTTTGACAACGCTGTAACGTCACTATATAACCAAGGTATATTGTGTGTCATCTCTGCGGGCAACGAAAACCAGCCGGCGGAGAATGTTTCGCCATGCCGCGCTTCTGGGGCTCTCTGCGTTGGAAGCGTTGAGTCGAATGATTCCCGTTCATCTTGGTCGAACTACGGCTCTGTCATAGACATCTGGGCTCCTGGTGGCAGCATTTTGTCTACATGGCACACCTCAGATACAGCCACATCGACACAGGATGGTACCTCAGCCGCTGCGCCATTTGTGGCTGGATTAGCGTCTTATATCCGTGGTCTCGAAGGATTGTCCATTGGTCCAGCGACCAGTGCGAGAATTCTGGCGTTAGCTACATACATACCTCCATTGTGCAAGTTTGATCCAGTGAGTGGACAATACATCTGTCCCGACACAACAAAGGAACCCAACCTAGTGGCATACAATGGAAATGGACGCTAAATGTTCAACAGGAGGATTTGTTGCAAAATGAGGGTGGGTTGCAGTGTGTAGCGATATAGTTCTATTTTGACTGAAGCTAGCGTTATAGGACAACATGCACGATACTCGCAATGTGTGAAACATATCAGCTTTGTAAATAGGAATGCGCAACAGGCCTCGTAGACTTTGCTTGAAGATTGGTCTTCCCTTAATGGAAGAATAGTGGGACCAAGCGAGCGTATTAGCCCGCCTTGGCAATCAAGTGGGGCTGGCAGGGATCCGCGTCTCCGATGACGTGCACCGGCCTCTCTTTCCCTTCCACCCGCCTGCAGGTGTCATAGTTTCTTTCCGCATCCCCTAGTCCACGTCAATGCATTTACTTCTCATTCCTGGGTACGCTATGGCTCTTCCGCTTCCGACATCAGCTTCCTAGACTGGCATGCCTCGATCACTCCGCTTCTAGTAGCACACGCCTTCAAGGTTAACAACCATCGAGCATGGAACAATGAGTTCGACATCTAGAAACGATCTAATTTTTACCTGTCTTGTTAGAACTACCGTTGTACGAGATCTCAGAGCCATATCAGTATGTTGAAGTACTGCGTGGGTGAGAGAGCAATGAAGATTTGGGTAAGATAGTGATGCAGTGAACCATTAAGATGTTCTCAGCATAGCAGATTCGGCGGCTACATCTCGTACGCACCGTACCTGTTCACGCAAACTCTCATGGGCGCCGCTTCTCCAAAGGCGCAGCAGCAACTGTGACCTGACTGTTGACTCGGTAGTTGTGACACAACAATGTGAGCCTACGTTCAAGCTCATGTTCACGATGAGCATCTCACCACTATTTCCATCGCTACTGCACCCTATAGTCGTACGTTATGGCCATGATCATCGACGCAACTGCAAGACATGGAATACGAGGAACCATCAGATCTCTGCTCTCGCCACAGAGCACGTCGAGCGATTGCAACGAAAGATCTACTCCGCAATACGTATGTGCACGCAAGAGATACGAAAGCGGAAGGAGGGGACGAATATGTGTTTATCGGATCGGCGATGAACGTACAGACCGTGGCGGACGCAGAGTCAGGCTATACACCAATGTAGAAGGTGCCAATCTCGACGAAGACGAGCGACAAAGTTTCATCGGCATTGAGCATACTGGTAACTACAACATGAGCAGCATCACAAGGCACAAAAAGGGCCGAACCCCGCCAACGCCAGATAGAGGGATAAAAAGCAAAATAGAGTTACAGAAGCTAGATGTCAAACCTTGCGATCTAAGCGACGACGGTTCTGACAGGCGTTCCAAGAGCGACGGTACGGCTTCGTCTCAAGCTAAGGGATTAAGCTCAAGCTCGAACAAAGAGTCCATCGTACTTCGACCTGTTGACAAACGAAGGCGTTCACGTCGGAAGCCACAAAATGATCCGCATGAAGGAGTGGGCGTGGTGGATCGTTGTCGGTCTCCAAATCAGACCCTTAGACGGCATAAGGCTAGTCGATTCGGGGATCGGTTATCACGAGAAGGGCCCGTAGATGATGAACTAGGAGCCTATTGCTCAGGCGCGCTTCCAATTCCACAACATCAACTGCATCGACTGAGCCTGGAAGCAGCGCCAACTGAACCTCCGAGAAGAACTCCTAAAACCACTATCGGCAGTACCATCAAACTCATCAATGACTTGAGAAGTGACACATCAGGGGCTACCAAACATCGTCAAATCAGTGGGAAGCAGACTGGTTCTGTCGTCTCAGAAGCGCCTGGGAGCCCGTTCAGGCAACCAGGGTTGACTCCACAGGAGTCATCGGACCTGATCTTCGGCACAAGCTTCGAGATGGCATCGCGGAGGAAGCTACGAGCGGGTAGCATGGACGATTGCATTGCGCCAGACGTGCATGAGTTCGCATCACACCTTGTACGCGATCATCCGCTGGACGAGGCCGAACAGAAGAAGGAAGCACGTAGCTCATCTCACAAGTCAAACACTTTGAATCTCAAACATCTCCCTTCCGGCGTCAGCGGAGCGCAGAAGCCGCAATATGTTGCAAAGATTGCCTTGGAACAGGTTTCTATTGATATGCTCGGAATAGCCCATGCTCAGACCAGTGCGCCATCCTATCGCTCCATAACAACGACCACACCTGGTACCCCCCCTTACACACCAGACAAGGGCGAATTGGACCAGAAGTAGGGCGTCAGCATCATGTGCTACGTGTATGCTGGTCAAGCAGCGTATGGCTCAAACAGGAAGCTTGTATGGAGAATAGAATTTGGGGTATTACTCTAACGCCTTATATCAATGGCAAAATGATAGCCCGTCCTGACTAGTCCAGGTCCTCAAACCCAGGCCGTGATACTAGTTGTTCGTCATGGTGTTTTCTCAAGCTCTCCATCCAATCGCCCGTCTAGTGGATCAATTCCGCTATGCTGACTGGTATCGTCGTCTAGATCCTGATATTCCTACATTGCATTAGCTTGACATTGGTGCTGACGAGGTTCACGACTCCTGTGTGACCAGGGTTACAATGATTCTTGCCCTCTTGACGGCAGAATATACCGCGTCCTCGATGTCAGAATATATATTACTTACCAAGAATTGTCCCATTTGCCATGACTACAGTCGGTTAGCTGATTGATTCTCCTAGGCCTAGAAGCTTCCAACATACCAAGCGTCCGCCCTCAACGTAGTACCTCCATCCCTCTGAGGACCCTAGGTATACTAAAATCTCCCATGGCAGTTCCTCAGTATTAAACTCCCAGAACGTCATGTACTGATATCTCGATGCTTTGTCCACTTGCTGGTGTTTCTGGTCTTGGATCCTGGATACGTGCTCGAGCTTGAAGATGCGTGTGCGGAGTAGTTCGGGATTCTTGAGCATGCCAGGCGCAAATTCATCTTTAAACCATGCTAAGAATTCATCATGAATTTCTGCGTCGGGTTGCCATAGGACTATCATCCACATTTGGATATCGCGGGAGTCTGGTTCAGGGCGTAAGTCATCATAGTATATACTTGTGTCATGGTCTTGTGGGACACGTACCGCCCCGCCATTCTTCCCCATACCAATTGGCATACTCATTGTAAACCCGCGTCTCTATTATCGCCTCTTTCGGAAGTTTGTCCAAGGCTGGGCGTAGCTGCGCATCCAACTCTTGCGCACTTTGGTGTTTGGGTAAATCGTAGATGGTCATGAGGCTGCCTTCGATTGCAGCTACCTCTGCGAATGTATTGTCTTCCACCTGCTCTGCAGTGCGGGCCGTGGAGTTGATCTTTGCAAGGGCAGCGGGTATATGCGTACCCTCGTACCACTGATTCGCGCCTGCGGCATCTTCGCCTAAGTCCGCCCAGGCACAAGCGACCCTTGACATGGTTTCCCTTTACGATTTGTTGTTAATTCGTCCCCGCGGAGGTGGCCAGAAGAGACGGGCGCAGATAGGTAATCAAAATCGAGTAAACAAGGCACGAGGTAAGGTAACGCAGCGGGCAGCGCAGCAAAGAGGAGCACGCCCAGACTCCGCCCCCAAAGTTTTTTGTCTTGGGCCCCTAATCCCAGCGCTCTCGAGCAAGGAACTACTTCATAGGGGCATGTTGATACCCTGTCTGCTGTGGGTGTTTCCCCAAGTGGCATGGGGTCTAGCGGCCCGTCTAGGCCTGACTTCGGACCAAAAATGACGCCGTAGTATTGGTGAGGAATTTGGCATTGCCAAAAGTTAATTTCACAGCTATGGGAGCACAGTCAGTCCAAAACTATGTAGTTTGCGAGCAGATCGCATTGAAATCGGTAAAGAATGGGACCGTGAGATCATAATGCGCTGTTATCCGTTGAAACACAAAAGTAGCTCGAGTCATTGGTTCGACCAGAGTCGGAGTGCGGCCCGGATATGGGGATCGTGCGCGGGCAAACCAATGCGCAATTACATGTCCGAAACAGGAAGTTGAACGATGAGAATCAGGTAACTTGGCCTGCTGACCAGGATACATCGGTTCGCTGATAATAGAGGCATCGCTCAATTTGATATACATAGGACCGCTCAAACAACAGGGACGCCGACGAGAAAGCCCTACAAGACATGATCGCCCAACCTCGACAAGCCACCAAAGTTTCTCGCGTATAATACCGCCTAGCGCGCCACATCGTAAATCCAGCAAGTTGGGAAAGGTGAGGTCGTTTCCTACCCACCTGCCCTATCACTTTTCCGAGACTCACTGCCTCTTGCGCTCGTCTTATCATCACTTCTTTCACAACAGGATGCCATCTCCGATATCAATGTGCATCTTCTTTTCATGAGTATCCCTTTTGTCCTTCCTTGGAAAGCCACGAACAGCCCGTTCGCATCCGAGAGCGCGGCATTTGAATTGGTGGTCGTGCAGATGGAATCCCCGACAGTGGCGGCGCAGATCCTGTAGACGCGAGTACCTCTTGTTGCAATTGTCACGTGTACATACGTAAACAGTCTTGGTCTCCGTACGGAAGGAGATATCGGTGGTGAGATCTGCTGTAGACGAGCGATGCAGCTCTACCCTACCGGTCCTTGTGAACGTAGAGTTCTCAATGCCTGCAGTTGTCTTAAGATTCGGAGTCTGCTGCTGCTGCTGAACTGACTGGCCGATCGAAGGCTCATATCCTGAGCCGGATGGCTCATATCCTAGGGGTGGCATCCGCTCTCGGCTGAGAGGCATCCATCCCGGGATAAACATCCATCCCGGGGTGGGCATCCATCCGGGGGTGGAGAAACGTACTGGGGATGACTCAACCTTGCTCGAAGGCTCGAGGAAGCCTGTGAAGTCCGCTCTCAGCTTCCACGGGACGATCGACTCGTAGCCGAGGGGATCCCGATTGGAGTCGAATAAATATTCGGTTCTGCACAGGCTAGATGGGGGCACGATCATGACAAAATATACACACTATGGCGTTGATGAAAGGAAAGAGATACATATCGTGTTCGATACATGGTTGACAGGTGGAGAAACTTCAAGAAAACTGGAGATTACGAGAACATTACCTTGGACTGCTTCAGATCAACAGGTCCCCGCTGGGTCGATAATGCAAACAGAACTGGGAAGTAAAGAATAAACAAAGGAAAGACAGAGAATAGACAAAGGAAATCGCCACATGGAGATACACGCTCCCAGGCAAACCCCGAAACGATAGTTTGTCGATTCCAACTACCTGACTCCTGTAGGAAGGGGGGGTTTGCCAAAAGATACGGGCATCCCCTTGTAACGGAGAGGTTGAGACGTCGAAGATACATGCCCCCATCCGAACGTGTCAGTGAGCTGTACTGTAAAGCATGCGGCCAAAGACAACTTACGATACTCCAGAATATTTACCTGCATGGTTGGTTGGACTTAACATGCACACTGTATTTTGGTCGACCATATCTTGGCTCAACCCTTCGGAAGAGAACTGAAGCTGGTTCGTGAGTTGTTGCTGAGCATGATTCTCGCCATTGTGGAACGATGAGGGCGGAGAGAAAGAAGACATGATGCCGGAAAACACTTGATTTTGAGGATTGGAGTGTTGATAGTTGATCCAATCGTCGGAGTGCAATTCGAAAGCCATGAACCTATAGTCTGTACTATGCGGTAAAGAATTTGTAGGAATCGTGGATGACGAAGACGTGGAGTTGGAGATACGGACACTGTTAAATACGGCTGCTGCAGTGTCTCAGGCTGCGGTGCCCCTCCATGCACACGCCCCTTGGGCTGGGTGCCACGTAGCGAAGCGCCACTCACCATGTTGTTTTTCTTTTGCCTCATTATCCTCAGACGAAAATTCTTGCTGTGCTGCTAAGACATCTTTAAGAAAGAAAGAAGCCATAGCTTTGTGGACAAGCTGTCTGTAAGTGCCCAGTTGGTGGATGTGCGAGCAACAGTGAACAGGAAGGACATGTCAGCCTTTCACGTTATTTAAGCCATAATGTTGCGCAAGAACAGCCACTTGGTGAAAAAAGGTGTTGAGTTGGTGATGGCGTTGGCCGGTGTGAGACACATGGGTGTCCGCGATCCAAAAGTGGGGGAACGGATCTCATCTACCACGCCTACTAGGTAGGTACACCCAAGGTCGGGCCACTCCTGATCTCTAGGAAGGCCAGCTCACCAAGTTACACTGGCTTGTAACCCTATTAGTTACGACATATGTTTATTAAAAGAATTTTCTCACTTATGGTAGCCAGATTCCGAGCAGCGACCGTCTCTCCACTACGTGGATCATGGAGACCGCGGTCTACCTAGGTACATCGGAGGTTTCGAGTCGCGGATTAAAGCTCAACATCCACTAACGGTTCTTCGATGAGACTATCTACACTTCGCAGGCTGTCTCTTCAGATAGTTCTGTTGTTGGGGTTTCGCGTGAGTACGCGTTGCTTGCGCGTTGCGGTTCAACAACCTTGGCACCGTCGCGATCAGGGCAGCTCCAACAACACTACTTAGGTACTGGTGATTTCGCTTCTCATTCAGCTCTATAAATACCTGTTCATCTCTTGGCTACTTCTTCCCTTCATAGCAAGCTTCAGATATCTGGGAGTAACAATATCGTTGCCGTTGACCAAACAGATGTGGTAATTCCGGCCTACGTGGAGGAAGAGGTAGACTTCACCGTTACCATATTGAACGCACCCTTTTCCCAACATCCACGCCTCATCCGTTATGTTGGAACGATGGATTCGAGCTAAGCATTTTTTCTTTGTTCCATTGTGTTGGAGTCGGTGGAGAGGCGCGGGAAACACCAAGGGCGGCCCTTCACCTACCCCTATAGGCAAGTAGGTCAGGCGTGCGATCTGCAAACTTTCACCTACATGTTATCCTCGATCAAGGCACTATAAAAGCAGAGCTTAATAGTGTGGATTCAACAACTGCGCTTCTACCCACTCGAGTCATCTTCCAGGATGCTAAGCAAAGTTCAATTGGCGGCGAACGTCCTAATGGGCTGCTTGGCCACTGCATTACCTTCCTCAAACTCGTCCGATGGAGCTCTCGAAGTTTTCGAGTCTTCATTGAACGACCTCGCAGAAGTCTACTACCCAGGTTCGGAAGAATTTAACAATGCTACTATACGATGGGGCGCCGGGCAAACTCCGCACTACGATATGATTGTGAAGGTTGCTACAGAGGAAGATGTGCAAGCGGCTGTGAGTAAATACATAATTCGATACACTTGTATTCTAGCTAACCAGAGGATAGATCCTGTACGCCAATGCGAACGACAAGCCATTCCATGCCATTTCGGGCGCTCATGCGACGACGACATACCTCAGCAACATCACCAATGCTGTTGGTATCTATCTACGGGGTATGAACGACATCGTCATCGCCGATGATGGAGACACTGCTCTCATTCAAGGTGGCATCCTTAATGGCGATGTCACTGACTTTCTCTGGGCCCATGACAAGCAAACGATGACAACGGCCTGTGCTTGCGTTGGTTACATCTCTCCTATCCTCGGTGGCGGTCACGGCTGGAATCAAGGACGGTACGGCCTGGCATCTGATCAGCTCGTATCCGCGCGCATGGTCCTCGCCAATGGCACCGCTATCACTGTTGACGAGAGTAATCCGGATCTGTTCTGGGCAATACGTGGTGCTGGTCATAATTTCGGTGTCGTGACTGGGGCTGAGATCAAGATCTATGACAAGAAGCCAGATGTGGACCAGTGGGCAGTCAGCGGCTACTTCTATACACACGATAAGATGGAGGATGTTGTATCAGTCGCGAACAGCTGGATGGTGATGGCAAACAGGTCAGTGAGCCTTGAACACTACGTTGTGTTCTCTTTCGATCCCGAAGTGGATCCGGTAAATGTAAGTCTACATCCATTGCTATACTCATACACCACAACTAACGTCACTAGCCCATTGTAATCATCTGGGTCATCTACCAAGGTGCCGGCACCGTTCCAACGCAGTACACCGACCCTCTCGTCGCACTCTCGCCCATTTCTACCGACTCCGGCGTGACCGACCTCGCCGGTGTGAGCAAGTACACAGGCGCGGACCGCAACGGCCCATCGTGCACCAAAGGCTTCACTCGCTCTCTAGTCCCCGTATCAGCAGATACTTACGACAATCCTTCTCTCCGTAAAGTCCTCGACATCATGGCAACCTTCCCCCCAGAGTTCCGCAGCTCAGCCGTCCTACTTGAAAGCTACTCTACCAATCGCGTTGGCGAGATACCTAGTGATAGCACAGCATACCCGGACCGAGACGGCCAGCTGCTGTTCTCGCCGTTCATGACGTACGAAAAGGATGCTAGTCTGGATGCAGCAGCATGGGGTTTTGCGGGCGAGATACGCGATACTCTGATTGAAGGGACGAACAAGACCTACGAGGCTTACATCAATTACGCGAGGGGAGACGAGACGACTGAGGAGCTCTATGGGTATGAAGCGTGGAGACTGGAGAAGTTGAGAAGGCTTAAAAAGGAGTATGACCCTTTTGGCAAGTTCAACTTCTTTGCCCCGATTCTGTGAGCGGTTTTGTTTGAGGACGAAGGAAAGAGTGCTTTGGGGGATGGCAGGTGGTACAGTCACCAGATTCAACCACCGGTGCCTGAGTTGGTCACAAATGTAGTATAGTCTGCTCCCAACAAGATGTTACACGTAGACAGTAAATTGCGCGTACCTAACCCGTAGTTCACGCTTATTCAGATGCTTACTGATAGCTCGTTCCGCCACATCCGCACACTACAGCCTATCTAGTCGCATCGCTTCCATGCTTCCGTATGACTCCGCACCCATCTAGTGCTCAACTATGGGTTCGTGCTGCACTCGAGAATCGATAGTGGCTGAATCAAATGGCTCGTGGTGGCTGATGCATCCGCAACGCGGGACGCGTACATACGTTGCGAGTAGATATAGAGAGGCATGTAGCGGTATGCTGCGATAGCATGCCATCCTTTTGAATTAACTTATGCAATTGCAAAGATGTTCAGACAGTCGCTTGAATCTACACTATTGGGCGAAGACGACCGGATTCAACTTGTGGACCCTTCGTTCACTCTCAAGGCGTTTGCAGAAGAACAGAACCCGTTCGACGCAATGACTGGAGCAATCACGGATAGTGAAGAGGCGTTTTCGGACGGAGCTACATCTCCATCTAGCATGTGGTCAGAATTGAGTCGTCCAAGCAGCAGCCCATCCTCGACACCAACGACGCAGCTGCCGAACACCAACATATTGGTTCGTCGCCCACTGGTATCTTCGCACACATTTCCGAAATATAAACGTGAACGGAGTTTGGTAGGCCAAGAGCCGCAGGAAGGGAAGGAAGCAATACTTCAGCTTTCGCCGATAGAAGATCCAACGAAGGCGTTCAGACTGGAGGCGCCTTTGATATACGCCACCAAGACGCGCAATATTCCACGATACCAATTGCAGCGACAGTTCGATCGTAACGAGTCTGTACCCCAGCTGCACATTCGCGCAGTCCCTCTACGCGAGACTCGATCTCTCTCAGTACCGGCTGCCCACGTACTACGAGATCGGCAAATACCTTATAACGGAGAAGAAACGCTTTACAGCATGGATCTCTTTGAGATGCGCGGTCGAAAAGCCGGAACGCTCCCTGGTAGTATCCAAATGACTTCTGGGAAATCTCTCTGGGGCGGCGAGTGGACGCGCTTCTGGCATGTTACAAAATGTAAGGCTAAACACCATATTTGTGACTACAGAGGGGTGTGTGAGCCAGAAAAACATGTTCTTTATTGTGTCAAGAAAGGTGTGTGGGAGGATGCTGAGGGTGTAGTCGTTGCGCATGAAGAGACGAAGGGGCTGGGAGCATGGTGTGCCAATGGACTGCTTGTGGAAACAAGACGTCCATCAAATGAAGCAGGACATGCTTTGGAGATGACGGAGGAAATTGAGAGCGATGGAAAGAAACGCGATTTGGTGATGGCGTGCTGGGTAATGAAGCTGTGGATAGCGGAAGAACTCCGGTGGGAGGGAAATTGAGAGCTGTAGTGAGGCGCCAAAAATAACGCAAGATCTGTAGGTTCGGACGAAACAACCATTCTTAACCTCTGTAGACTATCTCTGCTGTTCGGCGCAACCTCGTAATCGCATCATAAGCGTGGAGTGTTGCCGATGAAGACTGAGGGAACATCTGCACTGTGCAGTACCTACCTAGGTAGGCATGGAATGCTGCGTGGACCCTGGCCACGTGTTTGAGCCTGTCGATGCCCTGCGAGTCGCGATTCTTGCAACGTGAAATCTCTTCGTCTTGTTTCTTCCAAAAGCAATCACCTGCGACAGCGACCAAGATGGAAAATGGAGTTGCGCAGATCAAGCGTGTAGATAGCGTCTACTTCGGCGCGCCTGCTAGACCGAGCGCCACAGGCCAAGGGGCGAAGAGCCACCGCCTCAGTCCGCCCATGATTCCTGGGATCATCGCTCAGAGGGGCATTTGCGACTTGGGCGATTCTGAGCACCATGACCCGATTATTCTTATCTTGATGCCATAGTCTATTTCAATGCTCTGAACCACCCTCCATCATCTTCCCAGCTGTTACCTTGGGCGTTCGAAGCCCTGTCGCCGCCATGCCGCTCATCACTCCCTCCCGCCTCGCCATCATCATCGTCTCCTTTTCGCTCATAACTTTCTTCTGGACTTTCGGCCTGCCGCACCAAACCCCCCAACCTTCGATACCTGCCATCGACCACTATGACCATAAGAATGTGCATACCGACCCGATAATACCGCCCCCCGTCATCGAGACACCGCTCGCGACAACACCAAGCCCGGTAGCACATGAAGACCGACCTGCTGAAACAGACGATCACAGATGGGATGACAAGGGAGCACAAGGTGGCAAGGGACAAGCGAAACCGCCTGCGCCTACCAAGACGGGCATTGTGGATTACGAGAAGGATGGCGGACGATGGGAGGACAAGGAAAAGTCCAAGGGCGGTAACAAGTCCCAGCACAAGGCAGACGCAAGCGCAATCACGGTCCCTACAACACTAGCCACCGAGGCTATACCCGCTTCCAAGAGTGCGGATGCGGCCAATGCGAGTGTTGCGCCTGCGAAGCCTGCCGAAGCAATTCCTACACAAGTCGTCGAGAAGTTCTGCAGCGATGCCGACGGAGCCAAAGACGTCATGGTTGTGCTCAAGACGTCCAAAGCTGAGATTGAAAAGCTCAGCGGCCATCTCAGCAACCTCCTGTCCTGCGTCCCTACCTTCGCCATCTTCAGCGACCACGCCGGAGAGTTCCAAGGACACAAAGTATACGATGCGCTCGATTCTATCAGCCACGACGTCAAGTTCAAGAACAACGAGTTCCAGGAATACCAGCTTATGCATGCTGACGCAGAGCACAAGCCGGACGCGAAGAAGACGGCAGACTTGGACAAGTGGAAGTTCTTGCCCATGGTCTACAAGGCATACCACATGAACCCCAGCGCCAAGTTCTTCGTCTTCCTCGAAGCCGACACGAGCTTGAGCTGGACGAACGTACTGCAGTGGTTTAACAGGCTGGACTACCGGATACCCTACTACAGCGGAGCTCCTTACTTTATTGCCGGCACACAAGTAGCGCAACGCGGAGCAGGCATCTTCTTGTCTCAGGGCGCTATACGACGATACGCCAAATCCTACGACGAAATTTACCAGACCAAATGGGAAAAGGACACAGGCACAGAATGCTGCGGTGACCTGATGCTGGCGAAGGCCCTTGGAGACGCACACGTCGAGTTCTATGCTTCTTGGCCTCTCCTCCAGAGCGAGCAGCCAAGTACACTGGACTACACCAGGAAGCACTGGTGTGCTCCTGCAGTCTCGTGGCATCATATCGATGGTAATGCCCTTACCAGGAAATGGAATATTGAGAAGAAATGGACCACCGCCAATGGCTGGAAGAAGCCATATCTGTACCGTGACGCTTACCACGACTCTGTCGAACCGCACATCGAAACGCAGAAAGTAGGCTGGGACAACTTGAGCCAGGACACGAAGATCGTTGCGCCAGAAGGACGGCAGAAACAGATGAAAGAGGATGCCGAGAAGAAGAAAAATGAGGGCCAAGAGCACGATCTAGGGGAACCAGAGGACAAACCCAAGGAAGAAGCTAAACCTCAAGGAGAGGAGAAGAAAGACCCCAAACCTCAAGCAGAGGAGAAGAAGGAGCCCGAGAAAATCAAGGTCGACAGCACACCACCACCAGACTCCCGGATCTATCAAGAAGCCGGCCCCGGCTCCAAATCTAAACGCGAAGAGAAGAAGGACGGCAAGAAGGGTGACAAGAAAGAAGACAAAGATAAGAAACCAGAACCGCCTAACTGGGATAAGCTCGCCGAGAAACACCCCGACGCGGCGGACAGCTCTGAGCGCTGCCAGAATGTCTGCCAGCAAGTTGAGGACTGTTTACAATGGCGGTACACGACCAAAGGAGATGGAGAGTGTCATCTCAGCAAGGTGGTTAGGTTGGGTGGGAAGGTTGGCGATGACCAGTGGACGAGTGGGTGGTTAGTCGACAGGATCCAGGGGCTTACCAAGGAGTGGGCGTGTAAGGAGGTCAAGTGGAGGTTTTATCAGTGAGTAGGACTGAGTGTTGAGGTGGTTAGATATGGGTAAAAGGATGGTGTTCTGGTGTTTGTACGTTCGTGTTATGGCATTGAGAAGAAGGCTTTCTGTATAGTGTTAAGCTGACGAGGCTGCTATAAGTGGTGGAAATTGTTGTATATACCCTTTTTTATTGTAATGTACATGTTGACGGTACAGGACATGTAATATCGATGTGCTGGCCCTGTTTCATCATACCTTCCTACGCTATCCATCGTGCTCGTCGTCAGAGATGCGCTTGCAAATCAGTCGAGAAGAGGCATACGCGAGAAGTCGGTTCGGTCTTCTAGAACTACGGCTGTGGTCTCTCGCTACCATCTTACTCACGAGCGGGTCTTCTCTAAACAGTTGATTCACTACGTATCGCTCGTAGCATACAAAAACTTCTTCTTCCGTCCTTTCACTAGAAGGCGAGTCACAAAGCGTGTTTTCCTACTCATTCACCATACCATTCGTCATACCTATACTGTACTCATGGTCTTAAGTTATCTGAAAAGGTACAACTCACCCATTTTCATACCTTATTGTCTACTCATTCAAATTTTAGTCTGACCAGAACTCATGGGAAAATGCCACTTGTTTGTCTCTTCAGTCGATCGCTCATGCTATGCTTCCAAGGACGGCTTCCTCCTCCTAAAGGCTCAATACTCCTTGCGATGGCACGTTGCTGGGGGCAATTCAACTTGGATACTAACCGTGTAAAGAAGAAAATAGGCAAGGGCGAGGTTTTCTTGAAGAGAGTATAGGTGGACTGTTAGGCAGGAGGCCGCATAGAGTCACATTTCCAAGCCTAAGCAAAACCGGTACGGCGTTCAACCCATCACAACTTCGTAGTTGTGTTTATGGCGTATCTACACCAATTCATGCACCCCATTATTGGCACCTTCCCACGCTTGACCTGGAATGGTAGGCGCTATACGCCTTCTTGGCTACTTTCCATTTGCCGGCCACTCGTACGACAACAAGTCCTTCTATGTACGCCTTGCATTGCCTCCAACAGCAGAAAAAGTTAGAAATCCATAGCCATCATCTACGTCTCGTCTACATTCTGAACGCCCACCTCCCACAAATCATGGAGCCTGACGCTATCTCCCAACTCAAAGCGCTACTAAGCGCAGCCCCAAATCTTCGCTCTCAACTCAGCAATGCCGAACGTCTCCAGCTCAGCGGGTTAGCTGAAGCACTCAGAAATGAATTGGAAAGACCAGATGAAGCCGTATTCAGGGTTACCTTCAATGACGTAAGTCGATGCGTCGTGCCGCTCCTTCTAGATTCGCGGGGCTGTATCGTCCATGACTCGTGACTAGCACTAATAGTTAAGGTAACCAGCCTGGACATTATCTGGCTATACGATTAGGCATACAATGGGGAATCTTTGAAGCACTGGGCTGCCATGGTGATGAGGGCAAGTCGAGTGTGCAGCTTGCGGAGGGTACTGGGGCGGATGCGCGATTAGTTGGTAAGTTCTCCAATTTAGTCTTGTCATTACTCTGAGGTGATACTGATCATATCACTCCAGCTCGCTTTCTGCGTCACCTAGCAGCGAATGGCACAATCCGTGAAGTCGGTCTCGATACCTACGCAAGCACTCGACTCTCAGCTTCTTTGAGGCAAAAGTCTTTCAAAGATGCTATACATTTCATGTAAGTCCTTGAATAGGATCCAGATATGCAAAGCTAGTATTTATAAGCCTCAATACTGATACCGCACCTGTCAAAGGTATGACGACTTCTACGACGTGGGCTGGAAAGTACCCTCCTTTCTTGACTCGATATCTCATCGCAATCCCGCCGATATCAACAACGGCCCCTTCCAACATGCACATGGTTTCTCTGATAAATCACTGTACACATACTTTGATGAAGACCCAGCGATGGGAGCGCGGTTCGGCGGTATGATCCAGATGTACAATGCTGGTAAACCGTTCTTTTGGGAGAACGATTATTACCCTTTCGATAAACGCTTGGTTACCGGAGGGCCCGAATCTGATGACGATGTGCTGCTTGTAGACATTGGAGGTGGGGATGCCGGGGATTTGGGCCTGTTGCGGAAAGCACTGGGAAAAGAAGTAAAGGGCCGGCTTGTTCTGCAAGAGTTGAAACATATCGTTGATCGGACCGTGGAAGACGGGTTTGAAGCGGAGGTAGGCGACTGGAACCAAGTTCAGCCGATCAAAGGTACGTTACCAGAACTATATCGTGCTGTTATCAATACTAAGACGTGGTTTCTAGGAGCAAGAGCGTATATGCTCCAACACATCCTCCACGACTTCAGCAGCGACGATGCATGTCGCCGCATACTTCGCAACATCATCCCCGCTATGGAGCCCGGCTACTCTAAGCTCCTCATTAAAGACCTTCTTGTACCCGATCGAAATGCACCATGGGCATTCACGGCTTTGGATGTCAACGTTATGCAATCACTCTCTGGTCAAGAGCGAACTGAGTCACAATTTCGCGAGCTACTTGATTCTGTGGGACTGAAAATTGAGGGCATCTGGGGTCACAAGAATGCGCTGGATGTTGTCATTGAAGCCTGTCTGCCCTAGAAGGAGAGTTTTGCACTGTTTACAGGACTTCCCACTCGTGATGACATGATTCCTCACTTGGTATAACGTACTTCTCCCACCCTTCCTCCGTATCTGCCTCCTTCCACGTTTCCATATCACCCACTACACCATTCTCATTTACCTTCCAAATACCCCCTTCTACCATGCCCGGCCAGTTCTCAAGTACACACGCTAGACTCTGCGATTGAAAATCTTCAAGAGACTGTCTCCCACGCGAGTACAATTGTGTGAAGCTGTTGTTCCCATGCTGTCTGCAGTCCATAAATTTCTGCCCATCACTCCTCCTCGCATACTCGTTTCCGCCGATAGCAAAAGGCAAAACGAATGAGATCTGATCTTCTAGATTTAGGTGGTCGTATTCAGTAGGCAACAGATACAAGCCAGAAGGGTAGATTCTAACATCGCGATAGTCGTAAAAGTGTGGCATTCGAGCGTCAAGACCCGGGCTCCAGGTTGGATCTTCGAAGAAGTTGAGTTCAGATCGAAAGAGTAGGATGGGTGGTATTTCATCTTTTTCTTTAGACATGTGCGAGCGAAAAGGTTGGTCGGGAAAGTCTGATGAGGTGATGACGCGGAGACCTGGGGCTATTTTCTTGAAACGCGGGCGGCGGGCACGAAAGAGAAAATTGTATGCAAATCGTTGTGGTAGGCTTATAGTTTTGCGCACGTTGTTTTCGAGGATGCCGCATATGGGCTGCGCGGACATGCTTTCCATAGGCATGCGGCTCTCTATCGCCTCAACGAGCTTGTCCCAGATCTCCAGGTTTCTTTTCATCATAACCTCGTTATACGGGACGAAGACCCAATTCGAGGGATCCTGGCTTTCCCTTAGAGCAGGCCATTCTTCCCTGAGCTTGCCTCCTTTTTCTGGTGTGGCCTGGATACTTCCTTGGCGAATCTGGGAGAGCCAGAAGCTAAGGACGGTCTCTAGCGGATACCATTTCCGTTCATCCATACCGTCCATGTCATACAGGGTAAGAGCCAATATGCACAAATTTGTTTTCTGGTCGTATCTAAATCTCGTAAGCTCGGTGTTCTGATATGCTACCGACAGCATCAAGTTCACTCACATCAGTCCACAAGTATGTCCTGTCCCAAAGTGCCCCGCCTGGTACAAAACCAAACGCCTTCTTCTAATGTCCTTTTGCTTCTCACCTGTACGGGCTTCGTAGTCCCATGGCCACAGCAAGTCCTCGAATTCGAACATGTAACCTGGTCCAGAGAGATTAGATACCCAGTGAAAGAATCCTAGATATGATTCCCTCTCTTGTGCATATGGATCTTGTGCTTGCTCGAGGAATTGGATGAGCTCGGCTGAGAGATCAGACCGTGCGGCTTCGGCTTTTTCCCCGTGCAACTGAAACCAGCTTTTGGATTGTGAGGTTAGTGTTTCTGGAGAGCGGCCTGAGCCGACCCAGCCATGCTGCACGATTTCGTTGTGGAGCTCGATGCAACGTTCGACGTTCATGGCCTGATGAGTATTTACTGTCACAAAGAGCAAGAACAAGGTATCAAGGATGAATAGCACCGGACTTCTGGGTAAGCAAGAGACTATGTGACTTGAGTTAAGTACGACACTACGCCGCAAGGCTACAGTGCATGGACGCAAACCTAGTCTGAAATTGAACTAGTAGCCAAGCCGGTCGACTTGGAAGCAGGGCCCAGGGGAAAGTAGCAATGATACAGAAAGACTCGAAGAAACGCACCGTATACCACCAAACCAGTAGGTGGAAATGATACCCACGCCTTTTGGTCACATTCCAGTGCTCAAATCATTCAAGAAGGTACTTTTGCTTTTAGTCAATCTTGAGGAGAGCATAGTTCGATAGTAAGACCAGTCCAGGAGTGACTCATCTCTTTTGCTCTCTAAGCCCTCATGTCTGCAGGCTCTCTCCTAGATGAATTCACCATGATCGGTTGCTCTGCGATTGTCATCGTGTAGCTGACGTCTCTCGTGCTCTAGGGTAGTTAGCGGTAGAACTAATCTTCCGCTATCGAAGCCTTTCACGTCGCTGATCAAGTGACAGTAAAGATTCCTCGAAAAACATCTCCCGAAAACTGTCGCAGCTCGTAATCCTGGAGGCCCAGCCTTCCAGATCTTCCAGATCTTCTTGATCGACGATAGACGCGTCTCCCCAGTTCCGAATGGCCAAGTGCTGTACTGCTACCTCGAGATGACTGTACTCATCTGATTGTGAGGCACAATCATACAAGGTTGGTGTAAGCTGTGGCTTCTCGGACGAGCGAGCGAGAGCGGCGAAGAGGCGCGTCATAGCATGGTTCTGGAACGCCGCCATTTGCAGCTCGTCTCCTAGAAACCAAGCCAGTATTGCAGCCTTGACTGCCCAGTCCATAGTTTTGGGTTTTTGGCGATTAATATCCATCTTCAGAGCCGGGACATCGTTGGCGAGGCCTAGCGAGACAACCGAGCCAGGTAGTTCGGTGTACTCTCCCCTGTAAACCTACTGTACGAACAAGTCAAGCACATCAAGAGAGCGCATCTTAGAAAGCCAGATCTCTGGTACAGGTTTGCCTTTGCCTGGGCATATCGGCAAATTCCGATTGGAGATTGATCGCAGTAACTCATAGGGTATATAGCGAAAACCGGGACTGCTGTCACGAGGAGCCAGACGCACCTTAATCGCTCGAAGATCGCCAGCGCTGTCATAAGTGGTCAGTAAGTGCTTAGAGAGGATCAACGGCGCCACTCACAAAGCAACCAGATGCTCTCTCTGTGGACAAAGACTAAGCGCAGGCGGTTGATCTGCTGGAGTCGACATCTCACAGTGAGTTTTCTTGTGTATTAAGCGCGTGTCCAATCCAGAATCTTGATCGACTGTAGATGTGCAGAGTATGTAGGAAGTGATTCAAGGATGGGAGGCTTCAACAGTATGGAGCACGCGGAGTCTTCTCACTAACTCGTTGGTCGAGATGTGCTTTGGCTCACCTTGTGAGCGCAGTAAGTTCACCTCTTACCTCCTACCTTCACCTACACGAACGCCGAAGAGTGTCTGCTCAAGTCTTAACCTGCAAGCAAAAGTCGCATTCTACGTTCCGCGCACTTGTCGTCACTACGACTAGCGGTCGACGCCTGGCAGCTAAAGCGCACTTGATATGCGAGGGAGCCTTTTTTGGAGCGTCCAAAGTCAGTTGAAGGTGGGATTAGATACCTGAAGTAATCTCTTCACTGGTCGTTAGAGACTGCTGTGCCATCTCTCCTAAGAGAAGACTCCAGATATTGCGCGACATTTACGCCATTATGATAGTGGTTCTTAGTCTGCGCATATGCAAAAAGGCGACAGAAAAGCTACTCATGAATGCGCGCGGATTGCGTTGTAGAGGTGTCGCGAGGCAGGACGGTCAGGTCGCGCATCCGCCCCAAAACGCGCCAAGACCCCAGCACATGACCGCGCGCACCCTCCTACCCCATCCAAACTCACATGAACACAACCCTCATTTCCTCGTCCCGAAATCAAATCTTACAAAAACAAGCTTCTCTCAACAGTCGCATCACCGTCGTAATCAATCAATCCAGCTATCGTTTCAAGCCCAGCCTCACCGCCGAAAGAGTCGGCATCCCAGCCACGCCAGCCTGTCCAGCCCCTCCCACCATGGACGCGACCCAACCACCTTGCTGGCGCACGCACCCCGCCACGTCTGTACAAAAGTTGCTGCATGCCACTTGCAGTAGACCCTACTACTTGGCCTGCAGAATTCTTCGCTGATATTATTAAACCAATTGTCCTTCATCTCACATCTCAAACTCAACGCTTTACCATACGATTCTTCGTTGTTGTCGTTGTTGTCGTTGTTGTTGTTCCAGTTTACCACCACCATCCTTGACATTGGCTTGCTTCCGGGATATCACTTACGACACCACTACTAAAGGGTTGCTTGGACGATAGCTAAGCTTGGACCGACCGGCACCACTGCGTTATACAACATTCACCTGTTTGCGCTGAAGATACAGTGCGCATACAATTGTTCATCCTCAACTCTTGACATTTGACTGACTTTTGATACAGAAACATCTTGAGCACTATCGCATCGCATCACACCGCCGCAACTACTCTTCACCAACCACTACTCCGACTACCATCTCCGAGACCCCCTCGTAGCCACCACAACAAACCGCAATCATGCAGCGCAACATTGTCATCTTCCTCATCATCCTTATCCTTTTCATCCTCATTGCTGCTATCGCCTACCTGATCTACTACCTGCAAACCCGCATGGCCGTCGGCGGAACCGCATCGTCTGTCTCCGACATGACGGAGAACGCATAGACGACGCCACTACAACAGAACACCATGATACAACAAGAAGCATAAGAAAAGAGACATTTAACGACGATACGAAGATAGTATAACATATGGGACGATCTCAGATTTGGAGATTGAACACTGCATGGCATTGGCGTTCTTGGAACTGCATGGATATGCAACCTACAACAGGAGTTTGGGATTGATTGAGCAAGAAAAGTGATAAAACACTTGAGAAGTTGAAACGAGGATAATGCAATTGAAGCAGCTATGTTAGTTGGGACTGGGCTTTTGGATACCCGCAACGTTATTACGTTACTTATATATGTATATATGTTCGCGCATGCATGAAATTGAACGACATAACTATTGAACACACTTTGAACTATGTTCCGCAATATGACTTTGATTATAGGCCTGTTGTTTATTCTGTGGACCTGGGAACACAATCGTATTTCGTCTTAGTTAAGGAGAAATATACCCGAATGTCCTGTATTATTTCAGAAGTGTTGTTAACATTCTAATCTTATTGGGAGACAAGCATATCAAGTATCCACAAATGGCACGATGCGCCCGCAACAATATTCTCACGAACAGGGGTATATCGTCTGTCACACACTAAGTGGTCACACTTAGTGTCTTATGTATAGTTTTGTGACCTCTGATGGTAATGGATAGAAAGCAAAAAGTTCGAATCGCTTCGAAGAACCATTGGAACTCCTTGTTGTCCTTTCCAAAAGAATTCGAACCTAACCAAAGAAGTCCCTTATGGTACAGTTAACGCCTATACACCATACTCGCTTAAATGGAATCAAAGTTTTTGTGAGAGACTCTAGACGCACTGGTGAAACTTTGTGGGGCGGAGGTGTAACGGACAAAGATGAGGATCCTCCGCTTGTGGTATCAACGGAGACGCGGTAGGCAATTTGAGCAACGTCGGCTTTACGATGGGTGAGTCTTCAAGTAATCGAAGACGAGAAATGCTCCGGAGGCGTCAACGGAGACACCGTGGGTGATTTAAAACACAGCGGAGACAGCGAAAAGGGAGGCGTTACTGGAGAGAATTGTCGTAGCGGGAGCACGTTCTCGATTGACATGGCGGGCGCGAAGTCCGTTCGAACTTTGCTGGTAAGCACCATTTTTGATGGCGAATCTGGTTGGGTATACTATTCGACTTGAAGTGGATTAGTGGCCTGTCATTACGGCGTCGTTATTGTCATCACCATTTTCGCATTTTAGAGGCTGGTCGCTGGTTTCGGAAAAGACTAGGTGACTCTCATAGTATGCCAGCATCTGCAACGCATTAATAGCAGTACAATTTCGATAGTCATGGCAACGCACCTTTTGCGGACACTTTTGGTAGACGTGTTTGAGAGGATGTTGTGTCTTTTGATTATTGTTCCACACGAGGTATGCGAACTTTTCGAGTTCGCCTGTCTTGGGGTTCTTCGTCTGCTCCACTGTGTCGATCTCGTGGACGTCGTGTTCCCACGAGCCTGGTGGTGGACTCCATTGTGCCACTTTCTTCTCCTCCTTGTCTGCCTTCGCGCGCTTGGTGCTAGACGCAAGAGTCTCCGACGCTGATTTCCTTCCCGCAAGCGACGGTCGGCCCTTGCGCTTTTGGCCCTTGGGCTCTGGACGGCCTCCGATACTCTTGAAGTACTCGTTCAGTACGTCGATGGCTCCCTCCATGTTTTCCTCTGACTCCCATGTCCGGTCTTTGGGGTCGTCGTAGCCTTCCCATTTGACGTCGAATTGGAGAACGCCCTACCACTGTCAGTGTTTGCGTGTGGTGAGGTAGGTGTCTGTACACACTCTTTGGAATCTGTGGTTGAAGATGGCTTCAACGACATATCTGGCGCATTGTTAATGCGTTGTGATCCCTGGGTATATGAATATACGCATACTCGTCTTCTCCCACCTCACTGTCATCCTCCTCATCTTCTACAGGATCGACTTGTACTGGTTGTCTTCCTTTTCCCTTTGTGGTCGCTTGCGCGGGGACTTCTTCGCTGTCCGAGGACTCGTGATCGCTGAGAGCAGCTATGCAAGTTAGCTACCGTATGCTAAGTACATTACGCGTAGGGTGAAAGCGCGAGAAGGCGGGCGCGACTCACGAGGCATCTTGAATCGCGGTCGCTAATGATGACGCACAGAGATGTGGGATGGGCTGAGCTTTTTAGAGCATGAGGCGATTCGGATAAGCGCAATTGTTTGTGCGCGATACGTGACCAGTGATTGTGGTGGCAGCTTGGGGCAGCAAGCGTCAGGGCAATTCGCAGGGTTGGAGATGGCGACGGAAGGCGCGTTCGCGACTCGCGGCCGTGCACAGGAATGCCAAGCCCCTCTGGGGAAATTTCGAGACTGACATGGCAGCTGTTTGGATATACCCCACCACCCCTCACTACTAAACATACCCAGGATTCCCTCCTAGTGTGTATCTGTAGTTTGAAGAGTCTCCGGAATCGTTTCTTTGCTTCTTCAGCGGGCATTTCTCCAACCATGGCGATGCGTAAGTTATACAGGCTGCAACAGCTTCATTATCTCCGAAACTTCACAAAGATGAAGAGAATGCTAACTTGTTAAATTGCAGAGGTCGACCTTTCCAACGGTATGCTTCCGAATCTACCACGAAATTATTACGAATCATCCACGAATGACGACTGACAAATCGGCTTGTAGCGCAGGTGATGAAGGATGAAGCGGGCAGGCCGTTTATCATTGTCAGAGAGTATGTGGGCTGCTGGGAATAAGCTTTGAGATTCCGTCCGAGAAATCAGCAGCTAATTCCGGGACAGTCAAGGCAAGAAGTCGAGGCAACACGGCAACGATGCGGTCAAGTCCCACATTCTGGCGGCCAAGACCGTCGCGAACCTTGTCAAGAGCTCTCTGGTATGCAGAATTGTTGGACTCGAGAAAGTTAGAGCACTGGCTCACAAAATCTAGGGACCGCGAGGACTGGACAAGATCTTGATTTCGCCCGATGGAGATATTACGGTCACAAACGACGGCGCTACCATTCTATCCCAGATGGAAATTTCCAACCACGTCGCGAAGCTGTTAGTCGAACTATCCAAATCACAAGACGACGAGATTGGCGACGGAACCACTGGTGTCGTAGTTTTGGCGGGCGCACTCCTCGAACAGGCAGCGGACCTCATCGACAAGGGTATCCACCCCATCAGGATAGCAGACGGTTACGACCAGGCTTGCGAGGTTGCTGTGGCCAAGCTGGACGAGGTCAGCGACGAGATCAACTTCTCCAAGGACAACACGGAAGAGCTGTTCAGGGTTGCAAAGACAAGTTTGGGCAGCAAGATCGTCTCCAAGGCGCACGACCAGTTTGCCAACATCGCCGTAGATGCTGTGCTTTCGGTCGCCGATCTGGAGCGGAAAGATGTCGATTTCGAACTCATCAAGGTTGATGGCAAGGTCGGTGGATCGCTCGAGGACACATTACTTGTCAAGGGTGTCATAATAGACAAGGACTTTTCGCATCCGCAGATGCCGTCAGAGGTCAAGGACGCCAAACTCGCCATCCTCACATGCGCATTCGAGCCACCGAAGCCCAAGACCAAGCACAAGTTGGACATTACCAGCGTGGAGGAGTTTAAGAAGCTACAAAACTACGAGTCAAACAAGTTCACTGAGATGATTGAGCAGATCAAGGAGACTGGCGCCAATGTAGTAATATGCCAATGGGGTTTTGACGACGAGGCCAACCACCTTCTTCTCACAAACAAGCTGCCCGCTGTACGGTGGGTAGGAGGCCCAGAGATTGAGCTGATCGCCATTGCGACCAACGGACGCATCGTACCGCGTTTCGAAGACCTCAGCGCGGAGAAACTGGGAAGCGCAGGCATCGTTCGGGAACTGACGTTCGGAACTACACGAGACAAGATGCTGGTCATCGAGGAGTGTGCGAATACACGAGCTGTCACAGTCTTTGTTCGAGGCAGCAACAAGATGATCATCGACGAGGCCAAGCGATCGCTACACGATGCCCTCTGTGTCGTCCGAAACTTGGTGAGAGACAACCGTATCGTATACGGCGGAGGTGCCGCGGAAGTAGCTTGCTCGCTCGCAGTCGAAGATGCGGCAGTCAAGGTAAGCACTATCGAACGCGAATGCGGGACGGCGACTTACATTTTGCAGAGCCCCGGTATTGAGCAATACGCGATGCGCGCCTTTGCTGATGCCCTTGACGCAGTACCCATGGCCCTGGCTGAGAACTCCGGTCTCAGCCCCATCGAAACCCTCGCTAACATCAAGTCCCGACAAGCCAAGGAGAAGAACTTCAGGTTGGGCGTCGACTGCATGCAGACGGGAAGTAACGGTAAGTGCCCTTCTCGTTCGTTGTTATCCAACAATCTTCCCCACGTCTCTTTGTATCATTCCCACTTGCCTCACCGCTATCAAGCATAGCTGCATTACGGACTATTCCCGGGAGACCCGAGACCCGTGTTGCATACAACTTGCCGCATCCAACGCCCCCGTGGGGTGGGGTGTGTCCCCCCACGCGGCGCTACTTGCTGCGCTGGCACGAACGCAACTACAAGTGGAGATGAGCAGGAGTCATCTGAGACCTTCGCTATGCTGTCATTGTTATGCACAACGTCATGGGCCACATTGGTGGCTGATTTATCGAAGATCGTGCTAACGTGGCGTTATTCGCAGACATGAAGGAACACTTTGTGATCGATCCCTTGATCTCGAAGAGGCAACAACTGTTGCTCGCTACACAGCTGTGCCGTATGGTACTCAAGGTATGTACCGTAACTTTCCCCCTTGTTTCGTAACATATCGTCGCTTGTTGCACCGCACACTACTTGGTGTTACTCCCTTTCCCGCCGTCCCTTCAGCATTTCCCTCCCGTTTGTGCTACCTCGCTTTGCTCGACTTCCTCACTTGCATTCTTTCTCTGGATCGAAGGCACGGACGGGGAAGCGGGGAGGCGAGACTAAAGAAACACGGGTCCTTGTGTGCGGGTTTGCATTGTTCGTTACACACCATCACTTTGTGTTACGCCGATTATCTTGACCGCCTGTATTGCTTGCGAGTAAAGCTAATAACGCCGCACAGATCAACAATGTGATCATCGCTGGAAACGACGACCAGGATTTCTAGACGCCATCACGCCGTACCTGACATACCGATTGGTATGTGCCTGAGCGATGGGCGCAAGTAGCAAACGAAGCGCAAGGGCATGTTGGATGGCAACGTAAAGAAACCATGTCTAAGGCGTTAATACCCATAGACTATCCAAAGTAAAATCAATACAAGCATCCTGATGCCATCATGTGCCTTGAATAGCATAGAGTCCTGTTGAGAACATGTCACCGCGGCATAAAAAAGCCATCACCACATGTTTGCAGCGGAATGCTCCTTCGTGACATGAAATGAATCCTTCGTTCCTACGATCAGAAGGGTTTCCGTAGGCAAATCGCAGATTCTTCTTCCCACGATGCGAACGCATTCCACATGTATGCATCTGCATATCCGTTTGTATGTTAAACATATCCTCCAATCGCCATTTAACAATGCGTCGTTCAGTACTCGACGGAATTGCTCAAATCAGCGTCCACTGCTGCACTCTTTTGTATCAGAATGTTGTCATTTGTCAACTCTGCGTTTAACTTCCAGATTGCCTGTCACAGTGTGGCCATTCATAAACTCAGCTAAATATTGAAGTCGATTTTGGACTCAGCGAGCAATAGGAAGACGAATTGTAGTAGCTCATCCATGTTCGTCATGACCTAGCCTTCAGCTTATCCAGGACTTGAGGATCTTCTACTCCACAGCAGCAACAATGCAGACTGGCGAACCTTCCTCTCAGATCCAAGAAATTGTTTTTGTTAAACACATGAAATCTACGAACAGAAACGAGACATCAGACACAATGTGTTGACTTCCCCGACAACTGACAACGTTTTTTTTTTTGCAGATACATCTAGACACCTTCACGTTCATGCTTTATCAGACCGGATTAAGCTAAGAACAGTAGTTGACTTCAACGACATTACCGCTAAACTCAAGGCAGGTTTCCCATTGAGGTTTTTGTATGTTTCAAACTTTCTCTTTACCTCAAAAGAACAGTCATGTTGTCTCAAGAGCTCGGTTATGATTATACCGCACTATCTCATCGCTCATGCTCGCTTCGAACCTTAGCGACCCGGTAAATCTCCTCGATAGCGCAAATTCTCTTACAGTGAGGAGCAAGCGGTGGTTGTTTCTTGCGGTAATATCAGTCATGCATGTAAGAACACGAGAGAAGGGCTGAGCTAGCTGCTGCAGGGGGCGTTGACTAATAGGTTGTGTTGGTGTTGTTGAGATGGGCGATAGAATGCTCGGGATGTGGAGAGAGACCTTGGCCTCAGCTGAAGAACGGGTGAGAGTGTTGTTGGCAATATTGGCGGGTAGTTATTGGATGATACTGTGCCATGTTCTGCTTCCGCGTAGGAAGAATGTAGATCCCGTGTCCATCACATGTTGTCTCGTCGTAGGTTGCGAAGTTAGCTTCACCACCCACCACTTATGCACGAAGACCAGGTGATGTCTCAAGCACTTGAAACAAACCACAATTTCGAACTTTTCTGTTTTCAGAACGATCGCTTCTCTCTTTCTCTAAAACCACGTCATTTTTCTTGATTCAGCCTATAACAAACCGCGACTATGCCTGTGCTTAGCTGCATGGAGAATATGCTGTACGTATATTTACGCGATCGCCCTGGGATTCAGGCACGCGCCCAAGTCCCATAAACACCCAGGATCTGGGTCTAATCTACCCCCTACACGAAGGATCGAGGATCGATGTTGACGCAAAGCCGCGTACCGGAAGCGCGTGACGAGAATATCCCTAGACAAGGGGTATTGTATCGATATTGAAAACGCGCATGAACATAACAATAGCAACATAGGTGATATAGCTATGCGCACCAACGTTAAGGCAAACGTAACATACAAGGGCCGAATATGCGCAACCACGGCACAGAAACGAAGCAAGAATAGTGGTGGTTATGATGGTGTTCCACGTGAGAATATTTGGAAACGTGGCCACGGACATATGGAGAGTCAACTGTGGCAGGTGACAGATTTTACCTGACTGCGCCCGAGATGTCAGCTTG